TTTAAAGTGCTACTTGCATGAAAATGGCCTTATTTCAAAACTTCAAGCAATACAAATATATGACTCATTTATATCTATTAAAAACAATTGCGGGAAAATATTTGTCTTGGAATTATCCCACATCAGAGAAATTTTGATTCAAAAGATGGAAGAACAAAAGGATTGAGTAAATGACGTCATCTACTCCAACATTTTTTGCCCAAATTATAAAGGATTTGCATCAATATTTTCTTGAAATCTGTTGCTTCATGATTATTACACCCATATGGATAGGTCTATTCGATTTCCAAGTCTTTTCTAATGTTTCGCAATTTTCGTCCAAGTAGCCCTTTAAACTCTGTTAAAAAACTTGTAAACTTACTTTTTTTCTATTGAAGTTTTTAACCACCAGGTAGAGTTTACTCTGAAAACATGAAAACTCTTTTTGAATGACCAACAATGCATTGCAGGATGCAGTATAAAAAACACCAATTTCAGACAATGAAAATCTAAAAACATTTATTCATCAACTTTAAGGTGCACTAATATTGCTTACATCAAATGTCGTTATCGCAGTTTAGAACGTTGTCGGCAAGTTACCTTGAATAAACATATTACAAACCATGCAAAGCCAGGTATATTGAGGCCTTTTTGTCAAATGTGGAATCTTATACAAGTCTCTCGAATTCAATGCATTTGAGCAAAAACAACAGATACTTGTGGATTATGATCTCCTCCAGATCTCTGTGTCATCTTGAAAGCTAGCAATGTGTTTACATCAAAACAAGATAACAAGTGAGTGTGTAAAACTGCTATTCAAAAGAGCGGGCTGATTGTACGATGAGTGGGTAAAGTTATCCATCACTGAAAGCTACCCACTGCTTAGATTTTAGTATGGATTTTATGGGCTGGATAAGGATTTATCTATATAGTGTATAGCGGTATTCACCCTTTGTACCCTTTTTGCCCCAGAAGCACAGAAGCAAATGATGAAGTTACCTTTAGAAATGGTGTAGGGAACTATACAAATGATAATTTTTGCCTTGTATATAGTTCAAGTAAGATTCCACATATGACAGACCAAAGTTTGAAAATGAGCGTGAATCTAAGGTGAGTGAAGCATTTTACACAATCATACAAAATACATCAAAAGGCAAAGCACTAAACCATCATAGAATTTAAACCAGCTTTCTGGACTATAATTATTTCCTTTTGATTTAGAAACTCGGAATTCCTTTTCTATTTTAACAAAATGTTACTCTTGTTCACATTGCTATCAGAACTAGCTATCAATTGCTGCATTTGGGGAATTATTGCAAAAATACATAAAATGATTCGACAAAATAACTATCTGATACCCATCACAATCAGCTGAAATAAGCAGTTGCACTAGTGAAAACTCACTCAGTCTCTATCAAGTGAAAACTCACTTTAACACATGTTGCACTAGTGAAAACTCACTCAGTCTCTATCAAGTGAAAACTCACTTTAGCCCATGTTGCACTAGTGAAAACTCACTCCCCAATGCTGGCTATCCCTCCTATAACCTGTTAAAGAGCTGACTCTCGTAAGCTCCCAAACTAAATCAACGTAATTCGCCAGACATATTACCTCGAGCTCCTCATTCCCGTTTGCCGCGGCCGCTTGCTGATCTACCACGGGTTTCTACTGCTGTTTCTGTTGCTCTGGTTCCTGCTCCTCCTCTCTGCCGTCTTACAGGCACTGCTGGATATTGTACGTTACCCGTTTGGGTCGTACGAAGGCCAAGAATCCAAATCAAGAAAATAAGTGTGATAAGTTCACCAAACTCCGTATGAGTNCTTGTTTTCTTTTGTGTATATTTGAATATCGTTGACTATCTCTTGTTTTCTTCTGTGTCTATTTGACTATGACACTTTAATGTATGAGTCAATTCCAAAGGTGCCCATCCCCCCCCGGGCAAACCCCGGGCATTTGACACGACTTTACCTCCGTACAGTGGGGAATTTGACTGATTTAGGAGCAGACGGGCGGGCATTTGACGAGTAGGCGACCATCTTGGAAATTATCGATTCAGATGCGAAAGCGCTATTTCGTGACACAATACGAACTTTTAAGCTTAAGTTAAAAATAAAAATATCTCGGGAACCTAAGCATTTTAATAATAATAATAATACATATTATTTATATAGCGCCGATGTCTTAAATTACAATCCTTTTTGGGAACATTATCCATCTTTTGTATACTTTCACGATGAGAAATCACGATATAAAAAGCAACAAAAACACTCGAAAACTAGCGTAAAAAAACTGACTTATGGGGCGGGCATTTGACCACTCATTTGCTTTTACTAGTATAGGCATTTGACTGTCAATTTTGCCCATATGGTGGGGAATTTGACCACTTTTTTTCCAAAAAGTCAAATGCCCGGGTGTTCGCCGGGGGGGGGATGGGCACCTTTGGAATTGGCTCATACATAATTAATACCACATTTTATCTTTGCATATCATTACGAGTGTTATGAATAGTGCTACCAAAGGCATGCAGTTCACCTATACTGATAAATCACAAAATGATTTGAAATCAAACTATATTAAGAGAAAAAATTTGTGAAAGTAACTCCTTGTTGATTACTTTTCATGTAATTTAACAGCTTTTGAAGGAGCTACATTGTAGTTATACATATGTAGATATACAAATAAAAAACTACAGTAAATCCCGGGCAGTTTATATTGCTGTTCTATGATACGATTCGTCGATTGTTTAGAGTAGTTCGTATCTAGAAGAGCTGTCGATCGTATAACTTGAGATCTCTTCGCCTTTAAAGGGACACTGTCAATGGCACGCATGCGCGAGTAAACTTGAAAACACTAGGCTAGTATTT